AATCAGTAGATTAATCATAACAAAAAATAATCAGTAGATTAATCCATAATAAAAAATAATCATTAGTTGCAGTCCTGTAGAATAGTTAGCTCCACCTCAACCACGTACAACAGTAAAATGCTGCTCTCACATTAACGCATGAGTAACATAAGTAAATAATCTGAGTAATTCCTCCATCACTGGGCTGCATCCTGAACGCGCTGTTCGCCTGGTGTGACCCTCACCGACTACCGTACTATTACCACCGAGGAGTGTCACTGCCAAACCGGAGGAGTGTATATATATGTGTGTGTGTCCGGTGTGTGGCATGAAGGAGATATCCTGACCCTAGAAAATGACCACACACACTCTTTAAACTCCACTAAACAGCGAGGACAGCGGCGGTGAGTCGACGGTGCGGAGGAAACCGAGACTGCCTCTTACTGTCGGTGTGTCACTCCACTGTGATGGTGTCGGGTATGGCTCGGTCGTAGCGGACTGCTTCTTCTCGACCTGTGTTTTACTGCGTCAGTGAGCGTGATGCGTTTCAACGAGAAGGAGCTGGTGTCTCTGAGCCGCCAGCCCTCGGAGAAGGCAGCTGAGTTGGGGATGCGAGGACCGAAGAAAGGAGACGGTAACACGGGGGGTTTTATTACGTTTCACACATCGACTCCTACATATCACTTCCGTCTCGTGTTATTTGGGCAGCAGCCAGTGTTAACATCAGCCGTGGTGACAGCAGTCTGTCTGTGTTGTGAAGTTTTCATCTCGGTTCCTCTTTGCTGTCACACAGTTGTAAAGAAGAGGCTGGTGAAACTCGTCGTTAACTTCCTCTTCTATTTCCGGACAGATGAGGAAGAGGTCAGTTCAATCATCACCTGTCCATGATGCGTTTATTCTCACAGCCTGTATTCATTGTCTTACTTCATGATCAGTGTTGGGTTAGTTACTCAATAAAGGTCATTTATTACTCTTTTTACTCTTATTACTCCCTGCCAACAGTAATTAGTTACACTTACTAGTTATATGACTTTTATGCTGCTCTCCAAAATCACAATTAAAATCCAGTGGTGTTTGTTAAAATCAAAGTAAATCAGAATCAGAATCACTTCTATTGGCCAGGTATGTGTGCACATACAAGGAATCTGACTCCAGTTTTACTCTCAATGTACAAACACAGACTAACAGCATAAATAAACAGTACAAGTGCAACAACACATATACTTATATGTATCGTTATACATGTCTATAAACAAACATTTGTTTCCATCTTCCAAACTAGTTTCCTTCACGATTACAAAATGAATCCAAAGATGTGAAGACTGTTATATTATTACTAAAATGTATTAATAATTAGTTACACTACTAGTTACTGGGGAAATTGATATTATTACTAATAATGAGTTACTGCCCAACACTGCTTGTGATAAAGTGAAACTACATCCTGTAAAGTAAAGTGTTGAATCTAAATTGTGATTTATTTGTCAGCCAATTGGAGCTTTGCTGCTGGAGCAGTGTCGGGTGGAGAGAGAGGACAGCCAGACCTTCTCTGTTAGTGAGTTAAAGTATCCCAAGTTACATTTCACATTCACATTATTAACCTATACTTTGTCATTTGCTGACAATAGAGCAATATAGAAATATATGTACTTATATGTTCATATTACAGTTCCTAACATGTATTTTTATGTGTTTCTCTTTGTAGCATTTCTGGATGAAGCAGAGAGGAAGTATCTGTTTGAGTGTGAGTCTGAAGAGCAGTGTGGGGAGTGGATGGACGCCATTATCAAGGCCAGGTAGGGCCGACTTGTTTTCTTCCCATTTAGAGACACCAAGATCATATACATATGTTCGGTGACCTGGCAGTAACTGACATTTTACTGACAATTTGAAAGAAAATTAATTGATTGCAACTTTAATAAGTGATCATGTCAGTCAATTATCAAGTAAAAATGCCACAATTTAATATCGTTACTTT